ACCTTAGTGTAAATTAGGGACTTTGAGTGATAATGATGTTAGTGTAGGTTCACCAATGTACCACTCTGGTGTGTGTGTTGGGGGGGATGGGGTATATGGGAACTCTCTGTACTTTCTGCTCAATTTGGCTGTGAAACTAAAACTGCTCTAAACAAATTAAGTTTATTTTTTTCTAAGTAAGCTCTATGACTAACGTGGAGCTCGAACTCAAGACCCTGAGATCAAGAGTCACATGCTCCACCGACTGAGCCAGCCAGGTGCCCCAAGTTTATTATTTTTAAGATTTTTGTTTATTTGACAGAGAGAGAGAGCACAAGCAGGGGGAGCGGCAGGCAGAGGGAGAGGGAGAAGCCACCCAGGCACCCCTCCCCCCCTTTTTAAGATTTTATTTATTTGAGAGACGGAGTGAGAGCACTAACGGTGGGGAGGGGCATTAATGCCCTATTAGTTTTTTTAAAAAAAAGTAAGGCCACTTGGGGCACCTGGGTGGCTCAGTCAGTTAAGCGTCTGCCTTCGGCTCAGGTCATGATCCCAGGATTCTGGATTAAGCCCTGTGTTCACTGGGCTCCCTGCTCCGCGGGGAGCCTGCTTCTCCCTCTCCCTCTGCCCCTCCCTCCCTCTCTCAAATAAATAAATAAAATCTTAAAAAGGGGGGGAGGGAGGGCGCCTGGGTGGCTCAGTAGGTTGGGCGACTGCCTTCGGCTCGGGTCATGATCCTGGAGTCCCCGGATCGAGTCCCGCATCCGGCTCCCTGCTCAGCGGGGAGTCTGCTTCTCCCTCTGACCCTCTTCCCTCTCGTGCTCTCTATCTCTCATTCTCTCTCTCAAACAAATGAATAAAATCTTTAAAAAAAAGGGGGGGGCGCCTGGGTGGCTCAGTCAGTCAAGCGTCTGCCTTCAGCTCAGGTCATGATCCCAGGGTCCTGGGATCGAGCCCCACATCGGGCTCCCTGCTCAACGGGGAGCCTGCTTCTCCCTCTGCCCCTGCTTGTGCTCTCTTTCTCTCTCTCTCAAATAAATAAAATAAAAAAGTAAGGCCACTTAAGGGGCCAAATTTTCACAGTAAATAGTAAAAACAAAATGTAAATGAAACTTTATCTTAAAAAATGAAACTAGAAATTATATATAACATAATTTAGGTTATAAATGCAACTGTGTACATAGAAAGGAAATTAAGTAGGGAATTTTGGCATAATTCTAACAAAAAACTTAATGATGACACCATAAACCACAACTCACTCCCTATTTGACTTTTATTGCATCATTGTGCAAATATATTTAAGGACTTGGCCAGTCTTTTCAATGACTTCTCTTGGTTTTTTGATACCTAAATGATTCTACTTGGGAGAGCTCAGGGTATCACCTTCCCCATCAATTTTCAACTGTTAGTGGGTCTGTGGGTTGTAATGTGTCAACAGATATGTGTGAAACTTTAACAGCTCTCAAACATTTCTTCCGTCAGACTTCATGAAATCTTGCAAAGATTTGCAATTTCATTTCACAACGGATTGTGACTTTTACCAATCAGCAACAAGAATGATAATAACAAATCCTTGATTTGATGGGCCTGGACAGAAGCTAGTGATCAGCTGTGACTGCTGGGCATGCACAGGTTTTTTTTTTTTGAGACAAGAGTGTGGCAGGGAGGGGGGATCTTAAGCAGACTCCACACCCAGCGCAGAGCCCCATGCGGGGCTCATTCTCACGACCCTGAGATCATGACCTGAGCCAAAATCAAGAGCTGGGTGCTTAACCGAGGAGTCACCCAGGCGCCTCAATGTTACGATAATTCTTATCTTTCCCTCTACCACTCCTAGCTAGAGGGACTCAGGCAAACAATAGTCTGATTAGAAAGACCCCTGTCATCACAGCAAGAGGACAGGGAAGAGGTCAATTTAAGCTAAAATCTAGTGCCTACCACAAGTCGGGCACTATTCCACTGCTGGAGATCCGAGATGAACAGGAAATACCCTCTAGGAATTCAATCTAACAGAAGAGGCAAAGAATAAACACACAAATGTGGTAGGTGTTGTTGCTGTGAAGGTGTCTATGTATATGAAGTGCTATGGAAAAGACATGAATAAAGAAGAAATTAATTCTGTTTCTCTCTAAGCTAGATCTTGAAGGAGGAAGTTTAAAAGCGGATACCAGGCTGCCAAGCAGAGTATAAGAGCAAAGAAAGGCCTAGAGACTAAAAGCACAAAGCTCATTCAGGAAATACAGGGTCCAGTATAAGGAGCCCACTGCTCCTCACTGCTGGTGGGCGGCGGGGGGGCGGGGGGGGTGCGATTTTTAAACAATAGCAACAAAAAGGAACCACTCTAGAAAGGGAGGTCGGGGCCAAAGTTTAAAGCAGGCAAATAAGTCCGGATTTTATTCTCCAGCTACAGGAAGCCACGTAAACTTTAAAACAAAGAGTAACACTATTTGAGAATACCTGGCAACAGGACAAAGAACGATTTAGAGGAGGGAACCCAAAGTGCACGACATCCACGGGCGCCTCCTGTTACGGTGTCTAAGCAAGGATGCGGACCTGGACTCCTGGCCTCAGAAACAGCACAGGGAATAGACAGTAGGTGTGGGTGCAAAAGCAGCTCACCGGGTCTCAGCTGCCACTGCAGGCAGAGGAGGGGCTTCTGGGGCAGGGCAAAGGTGGCAGTGGTCCTGGGACTCTGGCCAGCTACTGTTACCAACTCAAAGACAGAAAGCAGCAAGAGCATATTCCAGGGTGGGAAGGAGCAAAAGGGTGAAATGTGGACAGTCTAGATGGACTGAGTTGAGGTGGTGAGGTCTGACAAACCGCTGGGGATGGATCAGCACTCAGCCAAAAGCTGAAAGGTGGTGAAGTGCCGGTAACACTTTCCTGAAAGGAAAGGCAACTCACTAGATTTCAACCAAGTTGGAAACCCCCATTCCCCACTCTGAACTGCCTCTTTTGCTTTTTAAAAGCTAAGCATCACCCCCTTCCCATGTCCTAAATCACCTCTTTTCTCCCTATTAAATGGACTCCATAACCACATTCTATTCCAGAAAACAGAAGGGGCAGTGTATACCATACATTGTTTTAAAAGGTCCTCCAGGGCGCCTGGGTGGCTCAGATGGTTGAGCGTCTGCCTTCGGCTCAGGTCATGATCCCAGGGTCCTGGGATTGAGTCCCGCATCGGGCTCCCTGCTCCTTGGGAACCTGCTTCTCCCTCTGCTTCTCTCTCTCTGTCTCTCATGAATAAATAAATAAAATCTTTTAAAAAATAAATAAATAAATAAATAAATAAAAGGTTCTCCAAACCAAAGGAAAGCTTCCAAGACCATTTCTAAGACTATGAATTCTTGGAGAAAAGAAACAAAACACATCCTCAACGCTCATATGAGTTTTGAGCGAAACACAAAGGTTTAACTGACCACTGACACTTCCCCAAAAGGTGCCACAAAAAAAATGTCTTAAGGTTGAATCCCGGGGTGTCCAAACATCTTCACAGGCAACAGGCAAGAGTACCGGAGCAGGAGGGGGGTACCAGAGACCTCCTAGTTCAGCAAACAGCCACTGACCTCCAGCCCCTCTAGGTTTTTCATTTTACAGACTGATGACACGGCCTAGGATGAGCCCTATCACCCTTTTCACTGAGGATCTTCAGGGCTAACTAAATGTGATAGTTTTGGAGAGATTCATGAAAAAAAAAATTCATTAGGCAATTATGAGATTATCTAAGACCTCTGTTTTTGATTCCTATCTTTTGCCTCTCACTGCTCATAAGCAAATCTATAAGAGAGGCCAGAGGACAACAAGGAAGTGAACCTCAGTTATTCTGCTGCATTTGCAGCTCTGCTTGAAAAGACTGGGCACGGAAAAGCAATCAAATGACTACAGTTGGATTTGGGGATTATCAGTGGCAGACAGCCAGTTTCTAGATATGACACTCAACCTGGTCGACCAGTTAAAAGAAAAGCTGCGAGAAAGAAACACATTTTTCTTTTTTTTTTTTTTTTAAAGATTTTATTTATTTATTTGCTAGAGAGAGAGAGCGCATAGGCGAGAGAGAGTGAGCAAGAGCACAAGCAGGGGGAGCGGCAGGCAGAGGGAGAAGCGGCAGGCAGAGGGAGAAGCAGGCTTCCCGCTGAGCAGGGAGCCTGAGGCGGGACTCGATCCCAGGACGCTGGGATCATGACCCGAGCTGAAGGCAGCCGCTCAACCGACTGAGCCACCCGGGCATCCCGAGAAAGAAACACATTTTTCAAGGTCCATACAGAAGGACACTAACTGTTCAATAGCTATCTCGTGGGAGCAGAATGGCAACAAAAATCAAGGGAGTCTTTTCCTGTTCAGTCTGAATACACATACACATACATTTTTTGTCCTTTAAATTTATGACTAAATATTTTTAGCTTAAAAAAGGAGGGGAGGAAAAAAGGGGGGAACCTTCCTCCCTTGGTCGTAATTTTTGGAGCCACACCTCCTAAGCTCTGACCGCTAATACACCCCTATGACTGAACAGTGTTAGCCAGGATGAGCAAACGTCACCCCTTGGACACTAACAAATGACTCTTTCCGAGCGGGGAGAAAAGCAAACCATGGACTCGAGGAACTAGAAGCAAACTTATCAGGTGACTTTTTTTAAAGCCAATCAGGACACCCCTCCGCTTTCAAGGCCCTAAAACCGCAAAGGGACTTCCCAAATTTTTAAGCTTCTGGACAAAACGCACTTTGTGATTCAACGGCATTGTTCTGCCTACAGGAGACCTGTTTTCCCATGAAACCGGTATTTTTTTTTTTTTTTTTAAGAGACCTTCTTCTGGAAGGTCCTGTGAGACCGCGGGGCCAGGGCCGCGGAATCCCGCTGGGATTTCACGCGGTTCGGGGAAAGGGGTCTTCAGCCCCCGGCAGCGTCCGCAGGCCCCGCCCCCCGGCCCGCAGGCCCCGCCCCCGCCCGGCCAGCGTCACCTGACCGGGTAGCGGCTCCCCGCTTCTGCCCCGTGCGCCCACCCCCGGGGGGCGCCGCCACCGACCTGATGACACTGATGTGGAACTGGTCCTCGCGAAGGCCCCGCCAGGCACCGGGCAGGAACTCCTTGCACCACAGATAGGCCCTGCGCCGCGTCCGAGGTTCGGGCTGCTCGTCGGCCGGCGGCGGGGGCAGCGGCAGCGGCGGCGGCGGCGGCGGCAGCGCGAGCGGCGGCTGCGGGCCGCCCAGCTGCTTGGGCTCGCGGTCGCTGGCGGCGTCGCGC